AAAGGAGAGCCGAGGCAGCTGCTCTCCCTGAGGTCGGGCGTAGTGAGCGCACGGCAGACCCAGAGACCCATCCTTCGTTAATGGTCTTCGGCATTTGCTATTTCCCCCAGAAACCCCAAATAGAGGGGGCCACACTGCTTGTCTCTGGGAGTTTGGATGGTGGAGACACCAAGGTCCCAGCCAGTGAGGGACATGCAGGGGGCGTAACATTCTTATCTTCACTGCTGTGCCAGTTGTGGTCAGGGCCACCGTTGGCTGTGGTGGAGCTGGTGGAGCGGCGCCTGAGGCCGTGTGGGGGCTGGGGGACGGATGGGCCACCCACGTTGGCAGCATTCCGCAGCAGTGAAGCTCATGTTCACAATCCTATTTCCCCTTTCCATGCGCCCTCCTCCCTCCCTCTCTGCCCTCCTGGTCAGGGTCGGCCATCTGGCTTTGAGCGGGAAGCTGCCCTCTGAAGAGTAAGTGCTTTCCTTTCTAAGATCTCTGACCTCTCCTGCTGGAGTCCCCTGTCCTTAGATGCTTCCTGACTTCCTCTTGCTCACTTCGTAACTTGAGCTCTTCTCTGTCCTTCAAGCTTCCTGACTCCGGGCAGTGGCAGTGCGGGTGGTAGCAGTGCGGATGGTAGCAGTGGTGGTTATTATTATTCATGTCTGCTATGTATAGTGAAGTGACCTCTCCAGGTTCATAGGAGGTCAGGGGTCGGTGCTAGGTTGTACTTGAATGAATTGTTATTTTTTCAAAAGTAAAGTAGGAAATCATGCCAGGGACGGAAGGCATGGCTTGGCCCACCTGTTTACTTAATAACTTCTGGGAACCTGCTGCCTAGGAGGGTGGTAGTCAAAGATAAATGCAGCAGGGTCCTGGCACTGGGGGCCCTGAGTAGTCCTTGAAGGACAGAGGTATTGCAGACATGTAAGAAAACCACTGCAGAGGGGAGGGAGAATGAGGGGTGTCTGATGGTTTGGGGAGTGAAGAGGAAGGCTTCTTAAAGGAGTTTTGAAGGATGAATAGGAGTTCGTTGTGATGGAAAGACATGTAGGGAGAGCATTGAGCAAGAGGTATGCTGAAGAACCATTCGTGTGACTAGCAACTGGGGAATGCTTTGAAGGCAGGGACCACGGCCTTCCTGAGTCACCAGTGCATTGAACAGCGCCCACTCACGCTTGGCAAATGCTTATTTGAGTGAATGCCTCAGGTGACACACTGGGGAACAGGGCGGGAGAAATTGAGAAGAAACAGATGGAGCTTGAATGTGGAAGGCTTTGTGAACCATAGCAAGGATCGGCTCTCAGAGGTAATGAGGAGCCATTGGCAGTTGTTACCCAGAGCAGATAGGGCCATCAGATCTGTCCCATATACTTATACATGCATTTAATTAAGTCTGTGAATTTTCCTCTGAGTGGGAACTGCTTTTAAACACATATGGAAAGATCTTCTGTTTCACTCATCATAAAGAGAAAAGGGAGTTAAACTACCGTGAGTCATTTTCTGCTATCAGATTGGCAGAGATCAAAAGCTTTTAATACACTGTGGTTAGAGATGTAGTTGCCTTTGTACTTTATTAGGTGGAGTATAAATTGATGATCCATTTGGGAGGCAGTATCTGTCTACATTTTGAATGTGTGCGCCCCATGACCAGCAGGTTTACTTCTAAAAAGTGATCTTACAACTATGCCCTTTCATGTGTAACGTGAGCACTTACCAGTGTGTATTCACTGCTGCATTGTTTGTAAGGGCAACCTAAAGCCCAGTCAGCAGAAGGCTAATTAAGGAAAGTCAAGCCATCATGCAATGGAGCATAAAGCACCAGCACAGAGAAGGAGGAAACTGTTCTTGTGCAGTGAGGGGTGCTCTTTAAAACCTATTAATAAGAGGGGGGAAAAAGCAAGGTACAAAACGGTATATGGAGTATGCGTCCTTCATAACAGAAAAATGTATTTATTTTTGTGATATGTATAAGGTATTTTCTGGAAGGATACATGAGAAACCAATAACATTTGCCTCTAGAGAGAGTAACTGAGGGATTAGGGACAAGGATGGGAGGATGGCTTGTCACTTCTGTCCTTTGTTCAAAAGAAATAAAATTAAGCTATCAAGAATAAAGCAGATCTGTAATACTGGTAAAGATCAATTTCTAATATTGGTTAAGTGAAAACAGTAAGGTAAAGAACAGGTATGCATTATGGTGCCTTTGGGGAAAGAAAATAAATACACTGTGTTTGGAAGACAGTCTAGAAGAACACGTAAGATGTTTGCAGGGGCAGTTCTGCCTGTGGGTGGGATGGGGGGAGCTGCGAGTTCAGGGAAGAAAACTTATTCTTCACAGAATAACTTTTTGTGTAGTTTAAAAGTTTGGCACATAAATGTATTACCTATTAAAAATAAATAGACATGGATGGATGCGTGGGTGGATGGATGAATGGACGGGTGGGTGGGTTTATGAATGGGTGGGTAGATACACCTATAAATTCCTGTATGGATGTATGGGTAGGTAAAATAACTTTTGTTGTAGTTGGGAAGACTTAGTAGGGCCAGGAGGGGCCAGAAACAGGAAATAGTTAGGAAGCTAGTTGCAATAGTTCAGGCAAGGAATGATTGGGGCAAGGAGTGGGCTACTGAAATGTCTCACACATGACCTGAGCTCCTTGTACACATAGGTGCAGGGGTTAAGCCCCAGCATTGTTTTCTTGGTAGAAGGGCAATTTCCTTTGCACTGGGCTTTTTCTGGCAACTGCTCAGAAACTATTCTGTATGTAATAACCACCCACAGTTGGATCCCTTTTTCACCATCACCCTAATAATTACAAGTGGAGGGAAACCAGTTAAAAATAATCAGTCTCTGATATAAATCACTCCTATGATCAAAATTCAAATGCCCAAGTTCATAGAAGCATGACCTTGGTCCTAAGAGTTTCTTTGTGTTTAAAAGTTTCCTTCCGAAATACCTTTGTGTGTGTTAAGCATTCAAAGTTTACATTTCATCAATTACTTGTTCTTGGATCTGGGAAAATAAACATTTATATCATAGAATCGTTTTTCAACTATACCTCTAAAGGACCAGTTTAGGTACTTGTTTAATACTAGTTCTTTCTTTTTATAAAGTCAAATTCTTTATTTTTTAATCATCTTTACCATTTTTAAGTCAACACTCAGTTGTGTTAAGCATCCTTACCATTGCCATGTGTGACTAGGGGTCTCTCTTTTGAAATGCCTGGAACATAATGTTTTGATGATATTGTCAAATGTTTTCTTTAAGTGAAATGATTTGCTTGTTCCCATCACTTTCTCTTCTTTTACATTTATTGATGTGGCTTTAACACTTGTGTGGAGCTATGAGATTCCTGATTCCTTGGAGTTCCTTGGTGGTCTCACTTCCCTGGCTGTGGGAAGGCTCAGAAGGCTACATTGCCCAGTGGCAGGCAGAGAAGGCTAGGAGAGAGGCGGGCTGCATGGAGACTGGCCCACCGTACACCTGTGTGGGCCTTACCCAGACACTGCCTACTTCCCAGCTCTTGCTGGTGGTTGTGAAGCGGGAATATGGGACCAGGGCAGCCAGATTTTCTGATTTTTTTTTAAGAGAAGCCAGAAATCCAAAATTTTATATGAAATTTCTGGATTTTAAATGTTGGCAGCTATCTAAAATTTTTTTAAAAGCATGCATCCAACAAAAACAATAAACCATCTGTGGGTCAAACTTGCCTGAGGGCCACCAGATTCAGAGCTTTATTATTTTTTTTATTTAAAAAATTATTTTGAAGATTGTTTATTTTTAGAGAGGGGGGAAGGAGGGAGAAAGACAGGGAGAGAAACATCAATGTGTGGTTGCCTCTCACGTGCCCCATACTTGGGACCTGGCCTGCAACCCAGGCATGTGCCCTGACCGGGAATCAAACCTGCAACCATCTGGTTCGCAGGCTGGTGCTCAATCCACTGAGCCACACCAGCCAGGGCCAGACCTTTAAATTCATCTGATGTAATTAAAGTAGAGATGGGAAATTGAGACTTCAAGACAGGGTAATAACGTTTCCCAAAGTTGTGTAACTGGCCTGTGGTCAGATCAGGGCTTGAATTAAACTCTCTGTTACTGAAATCTAACAGTGGGTTGAAGTTTATTCTTGGGCAGATATACTTGATTGATTGATCTATCTTTCTATCTATCTATCTGGCTTGTCTCTTTAATGAAGTGCAGGTAGTTTCTTAAAAAATAAAACTAATTAAAACAAATTTGTTGCCGAGGATGGATAGCTTAGTCATTAAATGCAGGGACTCACTCCAGAACCGAATTGTCTGAGTTTGAATTCTGCTTCAGATCTTACCAGCTGTGTGATTTTGGACAAATCATTGAACATCTCTGTGCTTCAGTTTTCCTATCTGAAAAAGGAGGGATAAAGTACTTATAGATCTGAAGGAAATAATACATGTAAAGTCTTAGAATAGGGTCTAGCACATAGAACTACAATTATAGAACTACAATTTGGCTGTTATCCATGTTGCTACTGCTGCAGCTGCTGCTAATGGTGATGAAGACGGTGCTAAGGGTGGTAATGGTGCTGATGAGAGTGTGAGAGTAGTGCTCTCACTACTCTCTAATGATGGTGGTGATGAAGATGACAGTGGTGATGAAGAAGATTTGAAAGTCCTCAGTTCACAAGATAGTAAAGTAGGAATGATTCGTATGACTAACCGACTCTTCAATTTATAGGAAAATACCCCTTGAGATTCCTTTAAATGGCCACCTCCATCTTTCATACAATAGTGGAATTTTCCACAGTTCCCAGGAGCCTGTCACATACGTGGAGGTGTATCTTTTATTCCTGATTCCTTGTTTCATGGTCTTTCTGGTACCGAACTCCCCAGCCTGCACATGCTGCCTGAGAGGGCCTCAGGTGCGGGGGTCTTGCCTGTTTCGTTGAACCCCAGAACAGCTAGTTTTGAACCCCACATGGGCCCCACCCCTCTGGCACGTCCCACCAACGCCATGCCTGTGTTTGTGTCTGCAGGAGTGGAACGTCACGTGGTACACCAGCAATCCTGACTTCACCAAGTGCTTTCAGAACACTGTCCTCGTGTGGGTGCCTTGTTTTTACCTCTGGGTCTGCTTCCCCTTCTACTTCCTTTACCTCTCCCACCATGACCGGGGCTACATTCAGATGACACATCTCAACAAAGCCAAAACTGTAAGTCATCGCAGGGAGGGGGGCTGTTCCTGGGTGGGGAGTGATGGTTGGTGAAAACTAATGTGTTTCTTCTACTTCATTGTCCCCAGCTTCCTTTTGCTAGAAGACAGAACAATGATGTGGTGGACAAGGCTAGAGGCCTTGGGTTCAGACGTGGGTTCACTCACTGTCTCTGTCCCTTACGAGCTACGGGACCTTGAGCATAGTTTCCTGTCATTACAATGGGGATGATAGGATCTGTCTCAACAGGTTGTCAGCAGATAATCAGAAAGTCTTCCTATTGGACCAGGGATATCTTTTTATATTTAAGAAAAGTTTTTGGCTTCTGGTCAAGATAGCAGAGTATGTAAATGTGGTGCTGGTAACCTCCCACAACCACATAAAAATTATAGTTAAACTACAGAACAACCATTACTCAGAACTGCCTGAAGTCTTGCTGAACAGAAGTCCTATAACTAAGAATATACAGAAGAAGCCACGTTGAGACTGGTGGGAGAGGCAGAAACACAGAACAGTCTGGCCTCACACCCTGTGTGGCAGCTAAAAGTCAAGAGAAATATCTTGGCAACAGAGGTCCTCCCTGAGCAGTGAGGGGCCCAGCCCCATTCCAGGTCCCCCAGCCCAGGGCTCTGGTGCTGGGAAGAGAGATTCCCTATAACTTCTGGCTGTGAAAACCAGTGGGCGTTGTGGCTGGTGAGACTCCTGGAGTCCTAGGTATTCCCCTTAAAGGGCCCATGCACGAACTTACTTGGATTTACTCATTTGAGCTCAGCACTAGGGTAGCTGCTGAAGAGACACTAGGGACATGCAGGGAGAAACTGAAGTGTCCGTCATCAGGGCAAGAGCTGGAGGGGCTTTCTCCTAGACAGAAGTACTGGTAGAGGCTGTTGTTTCTTTGATGAGCCCTCCCCGCACAGAGCCAACAGATGGGCACCATATATGAGACTCCTTCCACCTGGCTCACACTGTTTGCCCCACCCTGGTGGTTCCCTGGTACCCTGCCCTACTCAGCATGCAGGCCCACCCAAGGTGTTTCCAGTACCTTTTTCAAGACAAATAGCCTCCTCTTGGCTCATGGTGCAACTTTCCTAAGTCCTCCCAAAGGTTCACAAACCCCAAACGAGCAGCATCTGGCCTCCATGTGCCCCATACCTCTTGCTAAGTGGCCCCAGGCCTGGTATTAATGGTAGCTGGATTCAGTTTGCAGCTTGAGCTTTCCCTGGCACCTCCAAGTCCAGCACAACTAGCAGCCATCCACAGATTGCTTTGTAGCTCATGCTGGTAGCTATAGACAGGGCACAGGTGGTGACTGACCTGTGAGGCCCCCTTGGGAGGCCCAACTTCAGACCATGCCAGATTCCTACCCAACCACCTCCACGAGCGCCACACTCAAGGGGCAGACTCAGCAGGCACCAGAGCCCTGCTGAAGCAAGGTCTGCTCCATGGGGCCAGCCCCTGCACAGCAGCTCCTCTGCTGTGGTTCTGTCTGCTCCCTGTAGCTGATTGGCCCCGGGGGGTCAATCCCTCCCATTGATGTGCCACAGCAACCAAGACCTAAATACAACAGGAAGGTGCACACAGCTCACAGAGGGGTGCACCTGGAGTGCCTGGCTTGGGTGACCAGGGAGGTGATGCCACTGGGCCCTACAGGGCCCCTACTACATGAGTCTACTCTACCAAACCCAGGAGAAATAGCAGCTCTATCTAATACACAGAACAAACACAGGGAGGCAGCCAAAATGGGGAGACAAAGAAACATGTTCCAACTGAAGGGACAGGAGAAATCTTCAGAAGAAGAACTGAACAAAGTGGAGACAAGCAATCTACCAGATGCAGAGTTCAAAACAGTGGTTATAAGGATGCTGAAGGAACTTAGTGAGGATCTCAGTAGCGTTAAAAAGGACATAGAAACCATACAAAACAACCAGTCAGAAATGAAGAATACACTAGAAGGAATCAACAGCACATTAGATAAAGCAAAGGATCAGGTCAGTCATTTAGAATACAAGGTATTAGAAAACACCCAATCATAACAGTAAAAAGGAAAAAGAATTTTACAAAATAAATGTAGTTTAAGGGACCTCTAGGACAACATCAAGTGTTGAAGATAGAGAGCAATGGGTTTGAAGAAATAATGACTGAAAACTCTTCCCTTACCTGGTGAAAGAAAAGACAACTCCAGGAAGCACAGAGAGTCCCAAACAAGATGAACCCAAAGAGGCCCACACCAAGACACATCACAATTAAAATGTCAAAGTTTAAAGACAGAGAATCTCAAAAGCAACAAGAGAAAAGCAGTTTAAAAAAAGAGAAAAGCAGTTAGCTACCTACAAGGGAGCTCCCATCAGACCAACAGCTGATTTCTCAACAGAAACATTTTAGGCCAGAAGGGACTGGCAAATATTCAAAGTGATGAAAAGCAAGGACCTGCAACCAAGATTACTCTACTCAGCGAATCTATAATTTAGAATTGAAGGAGAAATAAAGAATTTCCCAGAGAAGAAAAAGCTAAAGGAGTTCATCACCATTAATGCAGTATTACAAGAAGTGTTAAAGGGTCCTCTTGAGGAAGAAGGAGGAGGAGGAGGAAGAGAAATATGAATAATAAAATGGCATTAAATACATATCTTTCAATAATTACTTTAAATGCAAATGAATTAAATTCTTCAATCAAAAGACATATGGTAGCTGAGTGGATAATAGAACAAGACCCTTACATATGCTGTCTGCAAGAGACTCACTTCAGATCTAAAGACACCCACAGATTGAAAGTAAAGGGATGGAAAAAGATATTTTATGAAAATGGAAATGGGGAAAAAAAACTAGGGTAGTGATACTTGTGCCATACAAAAGAGACATTAAAACAAAGGCTATAACAAGAGACAAAGAAGGACCCAGCAATTCCACTTCTGGGTGTTTATCCAAGAAACCCAAAACACTAAGGCAAAAAAACATATACATCCATATGTTCATTGCAGTATCATTTACACTAGCCAAGATATGGAAGCAGCCTAAGTGCCCTTCAGTAGGTAAATAGGTAAAGAAGTGGTGCCTGTGTACACTGGAATATGGCTCAGTCATAAAAAAGAATGAAATCTTGCCACCTGCAACAACATGATGGACCTAGAGGATATTATGCTGAGTGAAGTAATCAGACAGAGAAAGACATATGCCATATGATTTCACTTATATATAGAATCTAAAAAATAAAGCAGAATAGAAACAGACTCATAGATACAGAGAACCCTTGGGCCTTTGCCAGGTAGGAAGGGTGTTGAGGGACTGGGTAAAAAAGGTGAAGGGATCTAGAAGTACAAATTGGTGGTTACAGAATAGTCATGGGGGTGTAAAGTACAGCACAGAGAATACAGTCAATAATATTGTAAGAACTGTGCATATGTGTGTTGTCAGACGGTTACCAGATTTAGCAAGGTGATCACTTCATTAAGTGATATAAATGTCTAATCACTGGGGTGTACACCTGAAACTAATATACTATTATACATCAACTGTAATTGAAAAATAAAAAATAATTTCAAAAAAGGTGAAGGGGAGTAAGAAGTACAAACTTCTAGTTACAAAATATGTAAGTCATGGAATATAATGTAGAGCACAAGGGACTAGTCAATAATATTGTAATAACTTTGTGCGGTGACAGATCATCGCTAGACACATCATGGTGATCACACTGTAAGAAGGTATACAAATGTGGAATCACAATGTTGTGTACCCGATACTAATGTAATATTGTATGTCAACTATAATATAAAAAATAAGATGGCAAAAGAAGTTTTTATCTTGAAATAATTTGAAACTACAGAGCAGTTGCAAGAATGATGCCAAGAACTTCCTCCAGCCCTGTACACCCATCACTCATAGTCATTGGTTTTTAACATTTTGTTTATATTTGTTTTATCATTCATTTTTGCTCTCTCCATACACATTATTTATTTTTACTGAGTCATTTGAGAATAGGTCACAGCCACCATGCCCCTTTACCCCTTAAGTCTTCAGTGCATCTTTTCTCAAAGCACATGTATTCTCCTAATGTAACCATAGTACAGTTACTAAATTCAGGAAGTTTAACATGGGCACTTAAGAAAAAAAAACCGTCCATATTCCAATTGTGCCAATACTTCCTTGGGAGCATTTTTCTCCGCAGTTCAGAATCCAGTCCAAAGTCATGTATTGCAGTGAATCACGTAGCCTGTTGAGTTTTCTTGAATCTGGAAGATGTCCTTTCTCTGCATTTTATGACATTGACATAGCTACTGTGGGCCAGTTGTTTTAGAGTGAGTTCTCAGCTCAGGCTTGTATAGTGTTTCCTCATGATTGGATTCCGGTGACTCCTGTCTGACTGGAAAACCACCAGTGGGACGTTGTGTCCTCAGACTGTTACATCTAGGGTTGCAGGGTAGCCAACTCATCGATGGGGTGAATTTTGATCATTTGGTCAAAGTGGCATTTGGTGTCTGCAGATACAGTTGCTGGCTTTGCCCTGACAAGTATAAGCTGAGGGGAAGACGTGTAAAGAGCCTGTGTATTTCACACTCTGCATTTTCCTGTCGACTTGGCAGGTGTCTCAGTAATTGTTCTGTTTTTTTTTTCTGTGCGTGTGTTTTTTGCACAACCCATGCTTTATGAACACGTTATTTTCACACGTCTTAATTTGTTACACAAGGTTCTTAGTTCATTTTTCAGATTCTGACATCAGCTTGTTCAAAAGGTAAGTTCTGAAACCATGGTTTATGTAGCAAATGAAAACTTCATCGTAATATTGACATTTAAAAAGACCTTTGTAAAATAGGCTATTTATTAATTGTGCTTGAACAAAGTATGTGTGGAATGAATTCCATTTATTGTGGAGTTAGTCTCTGCTACACACTGACACTGGAGAAGACCCCTGGCCTCTGAGGATGGAAGAGATTCCAAGTGTCCCAGCGTATGCTGAAAAATGAAACGCGACAAATAATTTTCGAGGCACTAATTTGAACCTCATAAGTGGAAGGGCTAGTATGAAGGGTAAACTGCCCAGGAGCCATAAGGGCTGGTGCCTGTAACCTGGCGCGGCTTTGCCATTGCCTGAGTGTCGCCAGGTATGCGGTAGAACTCTCTAGGGATCATCTCAACTTTATAACTATAGCTCTCAGCAATGTTCTAAAGGTACATTTCCCAAGACTTATTTCCATAAGCCATCAGCAAACAGGAAAACTTGAATGATTGTACCGATGCTGTCCCTTTGCTAACATTGCCATTCAAACCTGTCTTGCTTGTACTAAGTAGTTCAAGTCTATCTCAAAATGCTGTCTGTTTTTTTGAGCTAAGCTACATCTGATGTCTTTCTCTTAGACCTCTGGGAGCACTTGGTACTTTTCCTGGGGAAAAATATTTGCCTTTAAAATGTAAATTGGATCTTGCCCTTGCCTTGTTCAGAAACCTTCGGTTAACTTCTCGCCACAGGGAAAACCCAGAAGTCCTTACAGTGGCCCAGCTCGATCTGGCTTCAGGCTCCTCCTCCACCATCTCCTACCGCACCCACTGCTCTTCCCACAGCAGCCACAGACTCGCCCTACGCGTATTTCCACCCTCGTGCCTTTGCGCTTGCTGTTCTCTCTGCCTGACTCGTTCTTTCCCTCCAGTGTTCACTTTTGGCTCTGTACTCAGATGGTCAGTCAGGCCTTCCCTGACTGCCCTATCTGACCTCTTTTATTTTTCCTCATATCCCTCACTCTCTTGTTTATGTCCATTCCACTAGAATTTCAGCTCCACAAAAGCAGGCATGTTTGTCTGTGTTTACCACTGTTGGATCCTTGGCACCTTGAGAAGGATGCAGGCCATAGCAGGCCCCAAGTTAGTTGTGGCTGGATGACTATTGTTGAATGAATGGTTATTCTGCTGGGGTTGCTGATAGATAAGTTCTAGCCTGAGCTCTTGCGTTTTCAGGTGCTGGGGTGAACAGTGACCAGACAAATTGTCATGCCTGGCGGGTGGGAGGGGGTGGTCTACTGGTTACAGACCAGCACGAGATGGTTTAGGTGGTGGCTCACCCTAGTCAGCACTTCTGTGTCCCAGAGGGTGTGTGCTGTGTTCAGGGGCCGCTGCTGACAGTATAGGGGTTGGCTGGCCCCCTGAGGCTGAGCTCTGAGCTGGGCGAAGTTCCAGTGCTGTCTGTTTTAAGACATGTATGTACTTCTCTTCCAGGCCTTGGGGTTTTTGCTGTGGATTGTCTGCTGGGCAGACCTCTTCTACTCTTTCTGGGAAAGAAGTCGGGTCAAGTTCCTGGCCCCGGTGTTCCTGGTCAGCCCAACCCTGTTGGGCATCACCATGGTAAGTAGGAGCTGGCTGGCTGTCAGGCACTTGTGGGGACCAAAAACAGTGGTCGGTATTTAGAAATGGGCCGATCTCACAGTGAAAATCCAGACATCTGGCTTATTTTGAAAAGCCCAAAGGTCTGGTAACAACTAGACTTGTAGTCTTCCAGGGCAGTAATCAGCTGGGGCTGAGAGGTGACTGCAGCCTTTGAATGGGGCCTGCACAGTGAGTGTGTCACCGTCCCCACTGTGCCCTATTGCCCTCCCTGCCACTGAGGCTGAGCGAAGGTGCCAGCCTGTGTTGTACTTGCCGTCTATTCTGTTCTTGCACTGGGTAGCTCTGTAATTTATAGTAATTTCCTGGAACTCAATGGCCTGTTGAGTTTTTAGGCCCTGGCATAAGGAGTGGGATAAAAAAACTAAATGAGAAACTGCCCTGCACCATGGGGGTCCCTTATTTAGTGGGAGATATAAATGGGGGACTGCTTTATTATAGCTGGTGTGTCTTAGGTACTTATTATGTCTGATTTTCAGAACAACTGGTGAGATAGGTACTGCTTTGTTTCCATTTTAAGGTGAGGAGATTAAGGCACAGAGAGGTTATTCTCCCTGCTGAAGGTCACACAGCTGATACATGGTCAAGTGAGGGGTGGTCACTCAGAGGCCATGCTTTTAGCCCTTGCTCTCCACAATGACATGCTCTGAATTAAAAGCCAGTCCTAGCTCTGGCTGGCATAGCTCAGTGGATTGAGTGCGGGCTGTGAACCAAAGTGTCACAGGTTTGATTCCCAGTCAGGCCACATACCTGGGTTGCAGGTCATGACCCCCAGCAACAGCACATTGATGTTTCTCTCTCTCTCTCTCTCTCTCTCTCCCTTCCCTCTCTAAAAATAAATAAATAAAATCTTAAAAAAAAAAGAGCCAGTCCTGTGAAGTACTGTGTACTTTACTTCTGTCCTCTGAGCAACCTGGAAGGTCCTCGGTGAGCGTAGCCCTTGAGTGTTGAAGAATGAAGAGGGAGCACATTTGGGGCAGGATGTTTGGAGCAGGGAAACCAGTATGTCCAAGGGAAGGTTGGAGGCCAAAAGGGAGTATCTGGGGGAGGATGGTGAGCCTCACTTGAAGCAAGAAGGTGTGGGGGTTAGAGGGTAGACAGTGGAAGCGACAAGGTGGTTCAAGAAGGGCAAGTTGGAACCAGTTTGTGAAGGACCATGACTCTTCACAGCTCCCGTTAGGAGTGTGTGATCTGTGCCAGGCACTGTCCTAATCCCTCTGTATGTTAATCCATTTAAGTATGTCTGCTTATTACCCCCATTTTGTAGATAAGCAGGTTGAGGCACAGAGAAGTGATGGAACTGGCCCAAGGTCACATAGCCAGTGAGCCTCAGAGTCAGCTTCACGTGCAGGCTACCTGGCTTCATCATCTGTCTTTGCAAAGAGCCACCCAAACCTAGTGTTCTCTGTGAATTGTTCTTTGTGTCCCCAGAGCCTGACATGCAGTAAGCACTCCATCACTGTGTTGAGGGAATGGGGAAATAAAGGGCTTGGTTTTGCTGGCCTGGGGGTCTTGGGCTCTACATTTTGGTGAGGGGGTATCAGTATGGACTGCTTTGGGCTGGAATAGTGCATTCCCTTAACTTTTCCCGTGCCTTGTTTTTTGATTCTTCATTCATGTCTTTGTCTGTGTTGCTGGAGACACAGGTGTGCTGGGCTGAGGGTCACTGGGCCTTATATCCCCCAGGGCTCTGAGCTGAGCTGGCCAAGAGGTGAAGGGGCCCGTGAGGTCCTCAGTCTCTCCTCAGGGCTCCGTGACAGGATGAAGGACCAGCCCTGCTATCGCTGTGGCAGGAACCTTCTTCCGACCCCTCGGGGACTGGAATATGCAGGCACTAGGCATATGAGATGTGAGGCAGTCAGCAAATATTTATTATTCCTAATGCATGCCAGAAGTTGAAGATCAAACTGCCCCAGTGCCTATCCTTAGGAAGTGTGCAGTCCAGCTGAGCAAACAGACATTCAAGGAATATCACAAACTCTTGTGTGTAAATTGCTGTGAGAGTGAATTTAGGTGAGCTTGGTTTGGTTTAGATGCAGGGGTGTCCAACCTGTGGCCTGCGGGCCCCGTGCAGCCCAGGATGGCTGTGAATGTGGCCCAACACAAAGTCGTAAATTTACTGAAGACATTATGAGGTGTTTTTGTGATTACGTGCCACAATATATTTAATGTGTGGCCCAGAGATGCCAAAAGGTAGGACACCCCTGGAGGGAGGGAGGAAGGGGTGATGGAGCTGAGGCCTGAAGGATGAGCAGGTGTTAAAGAGTTGACGGGACCATGAGTAGAGGGCCAACCGTTGGTGAGAACAGCAAAGTGCTGGGGTCGGAGGGAGACACTGAGAGCTGGCCCCTGTGGCTGGGGTGAGCGGTTGAGGAAGAGGGAGGGGAGCTGCGATGGCAGAGGCCTGGCTCTGAGGGACCTTGAGCTTCAGAATAAAAGTGTTGTTTTTCACTCCCAACGCTGGATTCTAAACCTTTTTGTACCATGGACCCCTTTCTCCTTTGCTAGCCTGATCACCTTCTCAGAATGGTGTTCTTAACATATACAGGATTACAAAGGAAACCAATCACATTCGAGTAAGTATAGGAAGGTTTTGTGCCGTGCATTTATATTTGAGGTTTAATCAGTAAACACATCTTGTCTTGTAACTACCATTTCCACCGCACAGAGCAGCCCTGTCACCCCCGCAGCCCCCTCGCGCTGCTCCTCTGTTGTCGGGCCCCACCTCCGCCCCTTCCCTGGGACTGACGTGCCACCTGACCCCGTCACTTTGCCTCTTCCAGAATGTCACGTGGATGGAACCACGCAAGCTGGGCCAGTTTGAGTCTGACTTCAGAGCACCTGCGGCTCAGCCATGTTGAGTGTGTCCGAACATTTTTTTTTTAAATTGCTGAGTATTTTAGATTGTATGGTTTCACCACCCATTTTTTTCTGTTCTTTCATTGCTGGACATTTGGACTGGGACACCAATTGTATTTAAATGTAGTTATCAAAAGATAAAAACCAAAAAATACGTGTGCTTCTCTGTTAATGTATTTCAAATCAAGATCTAGCAACAGGTGCGATGCCTCCTTAACTTCCAAATAGCAATGACCATCTGAGATAGTTGGGACATCTTCAGCTTTGTATTTTCAGATACAGTTTCTATGGCGACAGAGTCCTGGGTATGGCTAATGCCATTGTGGTTGATTGCCTGCATTTGTACCTGGTGATGCTGATGTGGGAAACTGAAGCTGTAATTGTTTCCTATCCAAGTTCATGGACTCCCAGGTTCTTTCCACAACCTGTCCTCGGAATCCATGTTAAACCCTCGGTCCTAAAGACAAAGGTTTTCAGGAAGGATGTGATATTCCTGGCTTTGCATATTTAAAAGCTAACTGTGGCCTCTGAGTGGAGAACAGATAGTTGGGCAGCAGTGGCAGCTGGGAGGTCAGAGGAGGGTGGGGTGGGTGGAGGGTCTTATGGCAAGAGGGGATGGAGGCTGGGGTGATGGTGCACTGAGGACTGGCCTTGGTGGCACAGCCAATGTGTGTTTTTGATGGATTAGGTGTGGGGAGTGAAGGAGATGGGGGAGCTGAGGAGGACAGGTAGGCAGATGGGTTTTTGGTTCCAGCACCTGGGTTATGAGGGGTGGTGGCGTGGGTGACCTATAGCCCCTCAGGAGTTGGCTTATGACCATGACTGGCCTTGGGGTCTGCCTCAAGAGGGTGACTCTATCATTCTGGAGGAGGGCAGTGAAGTTTCCTTTTTTCAAGGAAAAGTAATTTTGTTGTTTATTTTCTTTCTGATCGTGAAGTCACATGTGAAATGGAAATAGTAGCCCCAGGTATCAGGAATGAAATAAAAACCCCAATTCACCCACCCTGCCATTATTGTAATGAAAGTCCCTGAAGACAAGATGTGTGACTGAAGGCAGATTAAGTAACCTCGCTTCCTTGAATGCAAACTGTGGTTCCCGCTCTCGGGGCTGCAGGGGTTGCACTGAGTTAGTGCACTAGGATGCTTCCTGTGAGGCGAAGGTAGCAGATGCTCCAGAGAGCACAGTTGCCACTGTTGACCAAAGGGGAATTTGAACAAGTCTTTCCAGTTCTAAATCAAGGGTGGCCTACTGCCTCATTTTGTAAAGTTTTGTTGGCACACAGCTGTATCTGTTCATTCACGGATCATCTAGGGCTGCTTTTACACTATAGTAGCAATATTGAGTAGTTGTGACAGAAACTCTATGGCCCATAAAGCCTAAAATATTTGCTGTCTGGTCTTTTAAAAAAAAGTGTGCCCATTCTATTCTACACTGAGCTGCCGCCTCCTACCCCCAACCTATACATGATCTTATTAAATTCTCACAGCTATCCCGCTAGGTGCTGTTATCAACTGTTTTGCAGGCAAGGCACTGGAGGCTCAGAGGGGTTTGGTGACTTGCTCATGGTCACCCAGCAGGACAAGAGCAGAGCTAGGACTGGAGCCAAGTCCTCCCCCGGGGCTGTTCTTGTAGCACTGGGTGAAGGGCAGCCCTACTCCAGGCCCAGTGTCTTCCAGGCCTCTGGACTGTGGGGTCCTTGGGGACCAGGGGGCTTTGGGGCTCTAGCCTTTTCCTGACGACTCCTATTGTGTGCTTCTCTCTTCTAGCTGCTTGCTACCTTTTTAATTCAGCTCGAGAGAAGGAAGGGAGTCCAGTCCTCAGGGATCATGCTCACATTCTGGCTTGTAGCCCTAATATGTGCCCTTGCCATCTTGAGATCCAAAATCATGACTGCCTTAAAAGAGGTAAGTGGCGGCCTCACTTTGCAGCTTCCTGCAGGGGCCCTTGGGAGAGATGCCTGTTCCTTTGGGAAGTCACACTCTGCCAGGGGAACCAGGAGATGGGTACCACATGGGCCTGGCTTCTTCCCTGGGGATTTCCCTACCTCACCAGCCTTTGTTTTGTAGCCTTCTTTCCTCACTGCCCTGCTTGTCTGTGTAGCTCCAAGGAGCCCATGTGGGTCCCCCCGGGGCGGGATCTGCAGGCTGAGGCACACCACCCTGTGAGCCTCTGTCAGCAGTAAACAGCAAGGAAAGTCAGCTCCAGATGTCTTCAGTCTGGAACAGAGCCAAATGGGGAGCAGTATTTGCAGAGCGGCTGCTCCCCCAGGGGGCCTTAGGTTGTCCCGAGTTACCTTGGTGCTGTCAGTCGCTAGTCGGGCTGAGAAACGGTTCATGCTGGCTGCCATGTGCTGCTCCTAGGAATCCTGAGGAGCATGTGCTTTCAGACTATCCTGTTGTTGCCTCCCATCTCCCAGCTGATCAGGACCTGGCATCAGGCAACGGGAGGAAAAGAAACGGAGCACTTACTGAGCACCTGCAGTGCACAGCACATTGCCTTTAACAGTGTTGGCAGCTGACACTTACTGAGTTTGTGTTTTCAGAGTGCCAGGTGGAGGGCTGGGTTCTTTTCATGAATCATCTTGACTTCTCACAAGTACTCTGGCAGCGTTTTTCAGCCTCAGCAATAATTGACGTTTAGGACAGAGATATCTTTGTTGTCAGGGGCTGTCCTGTACTTTGTCGCATGTTAGGGACATCCCTGACCTCCCCTCGCTGGGTGCCAGTTAGGACAAACAGGAGTGTCTCCACACACTGCTGAGTATTCCCCGGGAGGTAGAATCACCCTTGTAAATAGGTGGGAAAACTGAGACATGGAGAGGTCTAGGTAAGGTGTCGAAGTCCTGCAGCCAGTACGAGCAGAGACAGGGCCTGGTCGGGGGTCTGCTTCACTCCCACGCCCAGGCCTCCTCCCACCACCGGGGCGCCCTCCACAGGCGCTGTGGGCCACACTCTGAGGGAACCGCCTCTCGTGTGCCGACTTGCAGGGTGTGGGACAGGGCGGGAAAGCTTGTCACCGGGCCTGCGTGCTGAGTCGGTGGACTTTCTGCGGCCCGTTCCCTGGCCTCTGCAAGCTAATTCCAGAAAATGATGTTCTCTTCCTCCTTCTGCCCTCATGTTTAGGACGCCGAAGTCAACTTGTTTCGGGATACCACTTTTTACATTTACTTCTGCCTTGTGCTGACTCAGCTCGTCCTGTCCTGTTTCTCAGACCGCTCGCCCCTGTTCTCTGAAACCATCAATGACCCCGTAAGTGTGATCACGAATGTGTTCAAGAGAGAAGCATTGTACAGTGCTGGCTAGTGTTGATTGGGCATGTGTTCTGAGCCAGTGTTGTCCATCTGGGATCTCATTCCATCTGCTGCAAACACCTGGAGATGGGTATCAACCGCTACACTTGACATGGAAAGACTGAACTGTAGACGTGGCTGGGGTGGGGGAGCCTGGGGAGGGAATCTGATTCATTGTTGTGAATTTCTGTGTCTTGCAGGCCTGTAGGTTTTCTCATTAGGTTGGCATAGTGATTTTAGAAAATATGAACAAACATTTAAAAAATCAGGAAGTTTCACATAAATTCTAACTGTTCAGGTATTCTAAAAAAAAATAGAAGTTCAGGTAGCGTCAGAGCCATGGCACATGGCAGTGTTGCCCTAGTTTACCACAGTCCCCACTACTCCCTATTGCATTGTACAGTCTTGTTTCTTTCATCTAGGTATGTGCCTGGCCCCTGAAGGATTCGAGTTTGAGTCCTTTGGTCTGTCCTGTCAGTTTGAGGGAAATCCTGTATGTGCAGGAAGAAATCAGGGGACAGGCAGAGATGGCCACTCTTCCTGCTGGGAGAATAAAAGGGGACATGGACCTCGTCACCCTTGTGTCTCTATTTTCTCCCTCCCTTCCTTCCCTTCTCCTCCCATTCTTTCCTTCCCCTTCTCTCTCCCTCCTTCTCTGCTTCCTCCTTCTAGCCAGTGCTGAGTGCCAGGCCCTGATCTGGGCATAGGGCTGTAGCAGTGATTAAAGCAGAGTTCTTGCCCACTTGAAGTTTAGATTGTCATTCATGGGGACAAACAGTAACCCTAGGACCCACATATCTGTCAGGTGGGGTAAATGCTAAGAAGAAAAAAGCAGGGAAAGGAACCGGAGATGGTGGTTGGAGGTCATGTGCAATTTTTGATGAGCAATCATGAAAGGCCTCCTGCAGGAAACCACACTGCAGCAGAGACCTAAAGAAATGAAGGAGCCAACTGAGCAAATACCCAGAGAAAGAGAGTTCCAGGCAGAGTGTTGGCAAGTGCAAAGGCCCTGGGGTAGGAACTGCTGTGTCATGTCAAGGGAACAGTAGGAGAGGCCAGTGTGGCTGGAGCAGCAAGGCAGGAGAGAGCTGAGGGGTGGCCTCTGCAAGGTGGGGACAGTAGGCCAGATGAGCTGTGTGGGTTTTGTTCTGAGAGGGGCAGGAAGCCTTTGGAGCATTTATTTGGTGCTTTGTTCATGTCTGGTTAGTCAGCTGTTAATGGGTAAAGTTGCAGCAGGAGCAGCTTTCAGCTGCTGTTGTTATGCCGGGTCTGGCCTGAGCCTCAGAAAAGGCTGAGGCTGCCTTTTCAGTTATCAGGGGACTTGGGGGGCAGCAGCGGAGGAGGAGGTTGCCCCCTGTGTCCTGGTGTGTCTTGAAAGGTCCCATTTTGGATTTCCCTGCTCAAGGAGGAACTGGGTTGGAGAAAGTAGCAAATCATGTATTCATGCAACTGTGTTTGTACACATGTGCATGTTTGTATATGTGGGTACATGTACATGCATGTTTATGTGTGTGCTTATATTTGTATGTTTATGTTCATGTTTTGTATGTAGATATGTGTTGGAGTGTTTGTGTGTGTCACTGTGTTCTTATACACGTGTGTTTGCATGTGTACAAGGTTCACTGAGGCAGCAACTGTGCCTGTGGCACCCATTGCATCCCAGCCCACGCCCGGCACAAAAGAGAGGCTCAGATATCTATGGCTGTGGTGTCTGCTGGTCCTCAGTGTGTGTGTGTGTGTGCGCGCGTGGCCATGGAGTGTCCCCATCAGGAAACATTTATTAATTGTCAGGCTGTTCTGTGGAGCCAGGAATCCCACCAAACAAGTCACACCCCCTAAGTGGCTGCAGACCTTGGGTTCCTCTGAGTCCAGGTGGGGCTGACAGGCTGGCGTGGGGGGCATCTGGCCTCTCAGGCTGCCTCTGGCGCCCGAGAAGCAGCCCTCTCACAGTGGACCATTTTGGGTGCTTTGTTAGGATGGAGTTTCAGATATTTGGTCCTCTCTGGGAATTGAGATCGAGTTCCTTTCACTTCTTTTCTGGGCATGAGTGCAGGGAGGTGGCTCAAGGAGCGGACTTCCTCCTCCCACTGTGTTTTCCGTGTTCCCAGCAGTCAGAGCCTGGGGCCTGACCTGCCACCCTGGGGGGGGCCTGCCAGGCGCGGCTCAGGGAGCTGGTGGCTGGGCCGTGGGGGGCCAGGACACCCCAACTCTTCTCCCCAGTCCTTTTTCTGTGTTAGGGATTGAAGCTCAGAAGTGGGCTGTTAGACCCTAGCTTATACCCTAAATCTGACGGCAGCATGTGTGGAGGCAGCATGTGTGATGGAAGAGAAGCTTCATTTTGGAGTTGGGCAAACCCTGCATTTTAATCCCACCTGGGTTCCTTTATCCCTTCAACAAACATTCACTGAGCATCTGTTGTATCCCGTGCTTAGTTCTCAGGGCACAGCTGTGTGGGAAATAGAGGTGGTTCATGCCCTGCTGCAGTTGCCTGCTGCTCCCTCACAAACCGCCCTGACTTCAGTTGCAGTCAGCAATAGTAGTTTATTATGTCTCCCAGCCGTGGGTATGGCTGGGCTCAGTGTGGTGGGTCTTGCGTGGGGACTGTCCTACAGTTGCAGCCCGATGGTTGTAGGGGCTCAAGTTGGGCTTCCTCACTCACATGTGGGTGGTAAGTGAGCTCAGCCACTGGCTGGGCCTCGGCCGGGCATGGCAGCACCCTGTGGTCTCCTTGTGTGGCCTGGCTTCCTCGCAGGAGGGCAACTGTGAGTGTCCGAGAGAGAGTCAGGTAGAAGCTCTCTCTCCTTTTCTGATCCAGTCCCAGTGTCACATGGTGTCACCCCTGTCCTACTCTCTTGATCGAGGCAATCACAAAAGTCTGCTTGGGAGCAGTAGTGGGGCACAGACCCACCTCTCAATGGGGGAGTGGGCAGCTCTCACTGTGCGACCAGCACTCGGGATGGCAGATCACGTCTGGTCTTTGGAAAATACTGTCTGCCATGTTCCTTTGGGAAGCTTCTGGTCTCAGGGGAGACAGCTGTTACACAAGTCAGCAGACAAATACTGAAACTGGGGAACCACAATTGAGATGAAGGCAGGGAAGCAGGTCACATGATTTTTGGATTGGGGACTTGGGGCCAGTCGCCCCTCCTTCCAGGACGTCAGTGTCTGGAAATTGGGATGAGGCTCTACTTGATGCTCGCCTCACCCTGCTCCCCACCCTAGACCCGAGGAGGGGGGACACTGTTAGTACCTTCTGTGCCTGTTTCCCTGTGACCCTCAGAGCTAGTATCACATTGGACCCTGAAAGATGGGAGAGTCCAGCCCCTGCTTCCCTCCTGCCCTAATAGCAGCAACCACTGCCGCCTGTCCTTGGAGAGAGCAGGCAGCCAAACCCTGAGGTGACCCGGGCGAGGTGAGGCGAGGCCTGGGTGGGAGCTGGCCGCTCTTGGCTTCTCCAGGCTCCCTTCTGCTGAGTCACCCAGCGGGCCTGCCCTTGTGGGACGACGGAGGACGTCTATTCCGGCCCTGGTTTCTTGGTAGGGCTGCTCCCCTCAGTCCCTCTGGCTCCAGCCTGGGTGCAGCTGAGGTGGCTGACCGAGGCTCCTGCCTGTCCCCAGCCTCTGGTCCTTTATCTTGCTGGCCCTGAGGCTACTGCTTAGGGCTGGAGGACAGGGGTTTCATTTGTGTTTGGGAGCATCATGGTCAAACATGGCCCATGCAGCAGACCCACACTTCTCCAAGTGCGGTCCTCAGACCAGCAGCACTGGCATCCCCAGGTGCTCATTGGAAATGCAGTGTCTTGGGCCTCCTGAGCCCTAATGCCTCCCTCTCGTTTTAACAAGATCCCGGGGTTGGGGGGCAGGGGCGGGTCCCCATTGACAGGCACTGGTGCACATTACTAAAACCTCTCAGCTCTTTTGGAGTAAGAGGCGTTTGTAGCCTGATCCTAAATATGAAACATTTCTTCCCCAGCATGTTACTATGAACACTTCACAGCTACAGAGAAGTCAGGAGACTTGCACAGGGAGAACCCATCCACCCTCCAACTAGACTGTACAGTTTATATTTTGCTAAACTGCTTTATCACTTAGCCAGCCAGCCAGCCAGCCAGCCAGCCAGCCTGCCCACTAGTTTTTTTGATACCTGAAACTTCCTTTGAAATACATAAACATCCTTCACCCAAACATTTCATCATGCAAACCATTAGCTAGAGTTCACTATCTGTTTTTTCTAAGTAAAATTTACATAAAGTGACATTCTTGAAACTTAGTACCATTCAATGAGGATAAATGAGTAACTTCAGCCTCTCTCAAGATACAGAACATTAGCAGGACCCTGGGCAGTTCCCCCTGCCCCGTCATGGTTGGTCTCTACCCCTCTCCTCCTTGAGACTGGCTGGGTTCAGATTGTTTATGAAAGCATTGTAAACACCATTTTAAAAAGTCCTTTTTCCTTTATACTTGTGGCCACTCAGTAATAATAATTCAGCATTGTGCCAAGGGCTGAGCTGGGCTCTGAGAACCTTGAAATGAGCAGATGTTGACAGCGGCTCTGAGAGGTGGGGGAGGGGCAGCAGGCCCATGAGCCAGCAGCTACAGGCCGGACAGTGGGGCTCTGAGGCAGGGCAGTGCTGGGGGCTCCAGGGCCAGCATCCAGGGCAGCGGAGGCCTGAGTCCAAGAAAGGAGAGGCCTGGCCAGGCTAATGACGTTGAAGGCCAGAGCGCGGGTGGGAAGGTGCTCCTGGTAGAGGAACCAGCAGGTGCAGAGGTCAGGGGATGGGCTGGGATGTGTGAGTGAGGACGGCATGGATTCTGCTTGGGCAGGATGGGCCGGGGGGGCCGTCTATATGGACTGGGAATTTTGACCTGATGGATTTTTCAGCAGGGGAGTGACACACTCTGGTTGGGATCCTTCCAGCTAAAGACTGGAAGAGGACTCCTGGGACATGGAGTGGCTGGT